TGATCCACATGACCATTCATAGGAGCTCACCATTTAAAATATTATTTTTAGAAAATTTGGGTTATAAATGTTGTACATGTTCATTGAAGAAAATTTTGAAAAATTTGGAAGAATATATGCAAAATAAAAATATGCATAATTCCACCTTCTCATAATAACCACAGTTATTATTTAGGGGTACTTATTTAAGTATTTTTTGTTTCATCCAAATAAATACATGTTTATAAAAGGGAAACAGATTTAGTTGTATAATTTTATATTCTGCTTTTTATAAAAATTTAATATGAAATGATGAATATGTTCCTATGTCATTATATATTCTTCAAAGACATGATTGTTAAGGCTGCATAATATTGAATTCTATAGATGCAGGATAATTTATTTGATCAATTCCCTGTTGGATTTTTAGGTTTGACACATAGGTTGTTTTTAATGTTTCAGTTGTATAAATAATACTGAAATGTTGATATTTGTATTAAAATCTATATGTGCCTCTCATGGCATCTTACAGATAACTTTCTAGATGTGAATTTACTGGCTCAAATGGTATGAACGTTTTTAAGGTTCTTGATATATCACAGTACACTATACCCCAGATCTCATAAATTGTAAGGTATACCATTATTTCATGTAACACTAAGAAAGGATACAATGCCAATTAAACATAATGCTTTCTTGTCACGTATACCTTTTATTTTATGATTATTGAAAGAGTTTCCTGGACTTAGTTCAACATACAATTAGCTTACATTTTATTCTTGTATATTCATAAAGGAGAAACAAAAACCCTGGCTAAGGTATTCACTTCTATTCTTTGGAGTCACTTTTTGACTGTGTGGTGCTTGGCCTGGGTGCCACCAGGAGCATTTGGATGCAGCATTAAAAAAAAAAAAAAGTGCTGTTTTTGCTCTAGGATTTTCTTCCAACAGCTGACATCCATTCTTCAAAATTAGGTGCAAATGGGCAGGCAGTGACAACTAAATCACAACTGTTGCCTGGCTGACAGTGATCATAATACACATCTCAATTTAGAGATAACATGTAAAAAAAAATTTATTCCTGAGAATGAATGAAATATGTGATACTGCAAATTGTCCACCAGAAAAGTTTTACCAGTGTGTATTATCACTAGCATCCCATGAAGTTACCCATTTCCCTTAAACCTTAGTCAATTTGGAGAATTTCTAGAATCAAAAACTTTGCCAATTTGATAGGTGACAAGTGGTATCTCATTTTAATTTACATTATTTTACTATTAGATCATTTGACATTTATTTTCATATATTGTTGGTCATTTGTATTTCTTCTTTTGCTAATTGTCATATACTTGTTTTAGTTTTCAATTTTGACGTTAATCTCTTAATTATTAAAAGTTCTCTACACAACTCAATATGTAACATATGAAGGGTGTTCATCTTTTATCTATCATATGTTGCAAATAGTTTCCTAATTTAATTAATTTACTTTTTTAATTTAATTAATTTTGAAGTTTTGATTTAAATTTACAGGATTATTTTTTATTATGTGCAGAAGTATCTAATTTGCATGCAGTGAAGTTAGTTAATATTTTCTGTGATTTCTTCCATTGCTCTTACATTTAAAAATGTTCACCCCAGACTTAACATGAAGTAAATATTAATCTTAATTTTCTTTTAATTGTTTTATGGCTCTTTCTCCTTTTTAACAAATTAACTCTTTAATGCATATGAAAATTACTTTGGTAAGCATCTAACCTTATTTCTTCCCAAAAGTCAATGAATTGTATCAGGGCCACTGGCTGAATAAGCCTTACCTTTTCTACTGAGTTAAGATGCTGACTTCTTAAAATATAGACATTTTTATACTTACTACGATCTGTATATGGGATAGCATTTGTGGTCTAATGTTTTGTCTCTCTAGTTTTGCACCAGTGTCACATTGTCTTAATTAAGAATTAAATTCACCATAAAATTTATCAACCAAATTGGGATGCGTCTGCAAGGGAATTATGCCTGGATGACAGGCACAAATCTGGGTCCTGGAGCACCCTAGCTGTTATGGTTTTATAATGAATTTTCATATCTGGTAGAACAAGATTCTCATCATGACTTTTATTTTCAAAATTGGTCACTTTTCTCAAGCACAAAACTATGCAGAATTAAGTAGTGATGGGATGAATATCTAAGAAATATTTTTGAGTGTACATCATGTAAGATGGTTTGCTCAATTGAAAGGAAATTAAGTTTATTTTGATTTTTTAAAATTAATTAATTTATTTTTAGTATTTGTTGACTCTTTCTGTGACTTCCTGTTGCTTTCCACTTGAAGTTACATGCAGTTAAGAGATACTCTACAGGGCCATCACTTGGCTTATGCCATTTCTCATTACCTTTGGTTTCTATAGAGTTAACCTTTTGCTCAGCCTTTTCTTAGAGCTGTCTAGCTAACTAGCTAAGTGTTATTTCAGGTACCACTTACATTCTTACTTAATAGCTGCCATTCCCCTTTCTCATAGTCTTCACCTGCTGTAGGCATCCTCATTTCTAATTACTACAGATGAACAAAATGTAACAGAGATTCAGTTCAGATGCCTCCCAAAGTTAAGAACACAAAATCTATGAATTCCTGCCATATGCTCTGAGGTCCAAGCCAAGTTGGGGATGGAGGAACATAGGCCTCTTTCCATAAATCCAGAAAGGAAGAGGTCTTGCCCAGGTCCCACATTACTTTTCACTGTGGCAGGAGGTGGGAGTGTTTTAATTTGTTTACTTATTTATTTTGCAGCATTTATTCCCTGCAAAGTAAAATGTTGGCTGACACAGGTTCTCCAAGGCCATCACCATTCCTTTCCGTCAAGCACTGTGGAAAGCCCCTTTTTTCCCCTTACAGAAACAATGGTGTAAATCTCTGTGTCTCTAGGAACACAAAGCATATCACTTTGTATACAGGAAGCTGATCTGCAAATGTTTGTTTAAAAAGTTTTAAATGACTTTCCAGCCAGTGATCTTTAAGGCAAATGTACCCTTGGGCTTTGTGTTTACCATTTTTATGTTATTATTAATTTGGTTTTACTAATAAAAATTATTTGGTAGAGAAGTGAGATGCCACGGACCCTGAAAGGACTTAAAGAAGGTTCTGGTGGATTATCCTTGAGCTTCTTTCTAAAAGCTAGGATTTGGGACCACACCTTTATTTGTGCTTGTCCCTTTGTCTCTTATCCCTTTTGCCCTGTCCCCACCTGTAGGTCTATAAGCTGGATGCTCTCCCTGCCCTCTCTCCTCTGCGTCTCTTTCCTAGATCACTTCCTTGCCTTCTGCTCAGATCTGACCCACATTTGTTAAAAAACGTCTAGCTAGAATATCTTTTTCTTTTTGCAGCACAGCTCACCATACCCCCTTCTCCTTTCTCCTTTTTTTTTAGGATTCGTATGTTAACGGTAATCACATCTGGCCTTACAGACTCCCTGTGCTGCTTTGCAATGCTCAAGTTCAGGAAGTTCCCAAGTTACAACATAATGTGTTTCCAAAGTGCCTTTGCTAATAAGTTGTTTGGAACTTGGAATAAATTTTTCCAGCAAAAGTCAGCTCTAACTGGTGTTTACAGCTCCCAGTCCAGCCTACAACTTACTCACTCAACATAGGACACATTTGTTGAGTGGAGCATTTGCTAAGTGCTGGTGGTTGAGAATTTTTGTGTTCATCACATTGCCCTCCATCAATGTGCTGTTGGCGTTGATCTGTTCACTCCCCTCACCTCCTTTTCATATATCATCTGCAAGGTTTTTGCTTGTTCTGGTAAACAGGCTCTTTAATCTTTAGCTCTGGCTTTGCAAGTTGTAGCCCTCTCTACAAAGTTCATCTGTAAGGCACCACAGTAATTCTCTGAACACCCAGGTGAAGCAACAATAATTTGCACATGTTGATCAAAATTTAGCCACATTGCTGTGAATGTGCGAGGCACACAAGGCTGTCATGGCCTATGGAACGAGGTCCATTGCATAAGGAATGAAACATTATTAAAACATGATCTCCAGAAAGAGCAGAATTTCTTTGATGGTAAGGGGCAAGTTATCGTTCAGTTTGTTTCCTGGGATATGGTTCCTAGTTGGCATACGGAAGGGTCCAATATTGACGTTGAAATGAGCAATGAATGAATGAACGAACGAATGGCAAAGGGAAGCTACCTGAGCACATGTTCTGAGTGGTTCCCAAGGCTTTGAAACATGAATAGGAAGGACCTTACATTGCAGTATTTCCCTCTTGTAGGATCACCAGGAAGGCGGGACGTTTAGCATGTCTGTGACCTTGTTTTTTGCTTTGCAGAGTTCAGGGAGAATAAAGTCTTCATGACATTGTTTTACTTTTCATCTTCTTTACCAAAGGTGGGTCAGCTTTATATTTCAGCTTTGAAAACACAAAATATCCAGGACTATTTATTTACCCCAAGGAGGTCAAGAAGCCTTTCACAAGAACTTTATTTTTTTTGTTTCCTGTTTCAATGAAAAGGCGTCTGCCTAGCAAAGGCCCCAGGTAAGATAAACGTGGCCACCCTTGGAATCTGGGGAGTGTGTGTGGGGGAGGGGGTTGCCTGCACCCTTGGGTAGATTTGAGGTTCGAGTTTTGGAACAAGCTTTTGGCTTGGAAGTGAACCTGCTTTCTCTGGGGGTTAGGGATGGGTGGGTGTGGGCTGCACTTCTCCGCAGCCTCTTCAAACAAATCTGTTTCCACTGAGTGAGGAGAGAGAGACAGAGGGACAGGGCTTTAATACGGAGCTCTGAAGTATGGCTCTGTAAAGCCTGTGGATGATAGCGGTCTTTTAGTGATCTCAGTCTCCTCATCGAGGCCAGCCAGCCTCCTGGGACCAGTCCCAGGCAGCAGAGCATCTGCAGTAGAGCCCGATCCGTGCCTCGCCGGTGGGGGGCGCTCTCCCGTGGGAACGGTCTGCAGCCACGGGCAGGGCAGGGCGGGGCAGAGCCGGGAAGCGGCCCCTCCGCCCCCCTCGGCGCCACCCTCTGCTCCGCCAAACTTTCTTTGGGCTCCGGGCGCGTCGCACCGGCTGCACGAAAGGAGGCGCGCCCCGGCCGCCAGCCGTGTCCTCCGCTGCTTCTAGTGCCCGGCTGTAGCCCGGCACCTGGTCGCCCCGTCGCGCACGGCCCGAGGGCATGCGGCAGCCGCAGGGGATCCCGCTCCCGGGCTCGGCGGCGCGGGCAAGTGTGAGCGGTGAGTGGGGTGCCGGGTGCGGGGACGATTCCCAGAGCCGCGGCCAGACGGGGTGCGCGTGGGGAGGCCAGCGCGCAAGGGCCTCCGCCGGGCCCAGCTGATCAGGGTTACCTGACGTCGGGCCCGGGTCCCAAATACACTCCAAGCACCTGGGACAGGACTCTCCGGGAGGTGTGTGGCACATTTTTGCCCTTTTCCACTTCTTTTCTAGGAGTTAAAAAGCAATCGGAATGTCAAAGCCGCGTTGTGTCCGCCCCTGCTGTGGGCTGGTAGGCTGGGCACAGGGCGCGCGGGGAGCGCGGGGAGCGCGGGGCGCGCGGGGAGGCTCCGCTCAGCTTTTGCGCAGGTGCTTCTTTGCCAAACCTGATCTTACCGCCGCCGTGCGTGGGGAAGGGTGGTTGTCCCGCGGAGCCTAAGGATGTAACACTTTTCAGCGTCCAGTTATTCCTGCTACGGTGGTGTGTCAGGGAACAGCTCGAACCATGCAAAGCATCTGCAAATTCGGGAAATAGTTATTAAGTGGTAACACTGTTGAGGGGTTGTGCTTTGTGACTGTCCCCGCCACAGACAAAAGTGCTTTGTTCTGTAGCAGTGTTACTTTATTGCTTTCCTTCAGCAAGTTGAGACTACCCAAAATTGCTTAGAAATTTCTCAAGCATGTAATTTGAGGAGTGACTGTGAATATTGGAAACAATTTAGTCTTATTCAGGTAATCATTAAAACGGCCCTCAAAAGCATTTGTAGGTCAATTTTTTTTGTCAGTAATTTCCACCAAATGTTTCCCCGGTAGTTTGTTGTCATTGTAACACATTCCCCGCCTCACTCCTTTGATTACCTGGTCTTGGAATGTTGACTTTAGAAATTATGGGCTGCATAGTTTCTCATGGTTCCTACTTGTTTTTTATGTATTTGGAGAATAAATGTCAGCCACAACCAGATGATACCTTTACAGGTTATTATTCCATGCACTGCAGGGCATTTTATTAATACATGGACTTTTGTATTGCTAAGGAAAGTTGTTGAGTTTTCTAGTGAACTATCAATAATTGCTAACCCTGTTTCCTATGAGACACTGGATCCACTTTTGTGTGGTCTGAGTGTAGTGAGTAGAATTTTCCTTTCCCCCCCCCCAACCAGATGTGATACAGTTAGAAACACACAACCTTGACTCTGTTAACACCATGCTTGTCTAAACAAACTGGGCTATTCTGAAAAGACCAGCAAGCAAACCCTGCCAGTGAGGCTTATGCATTTGAGATAAGCTTCCAGAGTCTTTTGTGCCTTGAGACGGTATGGACCCAGTATCATGACCCCGTTTCTGGGCATCTAACCATATGGGCATAACTTATATCGATTGTCACTGTGATATAACTAGGAAGATAGATCATTTGGGCACATTTTTCTTTTCTTCTTCTTCTTCTTGTCTTTAGAATTCAAAACTTTGTAGCTTTAACTACAAATGGCTTATCCTCTTTTCTAAATCTGACAAATGCATAAAACAGCTGTTACCAGACTCTTTCTATTAGATTAGATCTATGTATTTTAGATATCTAACTGTTTTACAAGATGTTGGATAGAACAGATCTGTATATGTTTTCTATGAATGAAGACTGAAATGAAAACAATAAAATATGTGATTGTTTTTCATGTACGTTCATGAGAACCTGTTGGAGAGTCTATAACATGTTCATTCTCATTTTTTTCCAACACACACACACACACACACACACACACACACACACACAGGAACAAATGCACACACAGCGTTGTGGCCAGGCAGCAACCAAGGCACACTCTCTCAAAGTCATGCACACACACCTAAGGCTGGCTGCTTCTCTCCCAGGTTTTCCATCTTCCTGCTGAAGAGCAGAAATCCACCATAACTTAAGCCCAGCCTCTTATTTCTTTGGGGTGGGGCAAGGGGAAATCACTGTAACTCAAACAGGAATTACTATAACTCAAATTACCCATTAGCCACTTTCCTGGGAGTATTCATTAGTTCAAAATGTGTCCTGGCCTGTGATTATACCCAGCAGAGTGGTTAAGTCTGATTGCAAGCTTCTAAATGGCAGAGCGCAGGCCCAGGGCATCATGAATCACGGTAGAAGGAGAAGAGCAGGGCTTTGCAGTCAGACCAGCCTTTGTTCCAGGCCAGGCGTTGTGACCCCAGATACAGTGCTTCGCTCCTCTAAGCCTTCATTTCCTTGTCTGCAAAACTGGAGATTATATCCAGCTTCCAAGATTAAAAGAGAAAAGCACTTAGCAGTGTCTTTGATATACAGGAAGTACTCCTTAAATGCAAGTTGCCTTCTCTTCCTTCTAGATACACATTAAAGTATTGACATTTCTGGAAATGTGGGCGCAAATGTATATGGTTCCAGCGAGAGGGCAAAGATAGATCCCCAAGCTGTCGGCGACTTTGAGATGTTCCGCCCATGTTCCTTACCTGTGTACCCCCTTCCTGGTCATGGCCCTTTGCTCTTCCCTCCATCATCCCTCCTGCAGGTACTCAGCCACCTCCTCTCTGGCCTTGCCGGTCCTTTGTCCCTCGTCCTGGATTCTATGTGTATATGGAGGAGTCCCTGGAACTTAGTCCTGCTATGGATGGGAGAGGTGCAGGTGAGGGGTCGGGGAGGTGTCTCCAGAAGCCCTGATACTTTATACTTTTACAATGGGTTAGAGAGGCAGTGGGAGTAGCTTTAGTTGCTAACCAGCCCCACTTTTGTGAGTTCTTGTATCCTTAAATAAATCGCTTGTCATCCTTGAATCAGCTTTCTCATTTACAAGATGGGGATAGTAATGTTTGCTTTTCTTCCTACCTGCATAGTTTATTGTTGGGTCCCATTAAGTCGCATATGTGAAATTTAATTCCATGTATAAACATTGGCATTAAAAAGGCAGGGCCTCAGATGTGGGACAGACACCCCAGGCAGGCTCTCTGGGGGTGCTTGGATCTGCATGTGAGTGTTGGGTGTGCTAAGTGGACATTACTGCAGTCCCTCCACATGCCTCTCTCCCACTCTCTGATGTCAAATGAGGATTCAAGAAGGAAATCCTGCCAAACGTTGAGAAACTGCTCCATGACAAATACAAAAGGAAGATAAATTTCAGAACTGAGATTACCTAACACTGCATGATCGAGGGTACAGGGCAAAGTTCCAAGGAAGCTTCAATTCCCCCTTAGAATCACCTGTACTGTCTGCTCGTCTCAGGTCTTAGTGGGCAAAAGCAAAGAGCTAACTAACCAACCCATGTGTCAGGGAGGACAGGTGCTGGCAGTCCTCAGACATTGAAGTGGAGCCCCCTACACCCGCGCTGCCCTGTGCTTTCCTGTTAACTTGGATCTTTAAGGTTCACTCTGCAGAATACTAAGCTGGCTCAAAGCATCCCCCACCCCAAACAGTTAAGCTAATAATTTCATTTGTTCTGAAAGATGCGTGTTGCTGTCTGCCTGAGCTTCCTGGTGAGTCAGGTGAATAGTGCCCAGTGAGAAGAAGGTCCTGACTTCCTGGGTTGTACCTACCTCCTCTTTACTCCCCAGTCTGATGTCCTCCTCCTCATTCCTCTTCATCACCTGGCCTGGCCTCTGCAGCACCTGACCCTGAGTTTCTTGTCCTATCTCCCCTACTGCCTTGAACTCCTCCTCTGCCTGTGACTCTGACGCTGTTCTGCCACGGTGGACCATGCTTCTCCTCAGATGTGAATCATTCATAAAACTCTGGCTGGGCTAGATTGGGTGTCACCCTGGAAAACTACCTGCCCAGTACAGCCTGCCCCACCCTTTCCAAAAGATGTTCGTCAGCCTTCCTAGTTACTCATCAGTTAGTCCTACGTCTTCATTGTTCCCTGGGACTTTAGGCTGTAGGTTTTACTAGCCCTGGCCTTGACTCAGCCATCAGTACGTTCAGTGGTATCATCACGGGTTGGCTTGGCAGGTGGCACGGTGGGGTTGGAGGGCACTTTAACCCCTCCATAAGTACTACCAGCTTACCCAAAGGCCCTCCAAACAAACATGCAATCTAAATAAAAATAGTGTGCTGCTTTGTAAATGCAGCTTGAAGACAAAGCCCCTAGGGCCCCCTTTTACTTAGGCTGCCCCAAAGCCCCTTCTCTACAGAAATTCTGGAGCTGCCCTAAGGTAAATTCAGACCAGGTAAGTCAAAGGTGGGCTGTGGAGTCGGAGAGACATTCATTCTCCAAGGAGAGCTAGAAATCCCAAGTTAACCCTCAGAATCATTTGGAATAACCAGTTATTAAAGACCAAAGCAAGGGATCAGGTATAGAATATCATTGTATTAGTTGCCTCCTGCCCTGGTTGATTTTTAATAGATAAATCCTTCAAATGGGAGCTTTCTCCCTGGACTAAATTGTCATGTAGATCTAGCAAGAGAAAATAAGTATAATCTTATTCTATATCCCCATGGCATTTGGATTAGTTAGGGTTCTCCAAAGAAATAGAACCAATTGGGCATATATATATATATATATATATATATATATATATATANCTTCATCAAATTAAAACCTATGGATTAATCTTAAGGAAATAATTGGCTAAGTATGTAAAGATTAATGCACAAGAATGTAGCCTTGTTTATAAAAGCAAAATATTGGAAACAACCTAAATGTCCAGCATTTAGGGATTAGTTAAGTAAAGTGGCATATTTATTCATATGCTGGAATATTATGGAGCTATTAAAATTATTGTGTATATATGTTTAATTTGGGAAAATGATGATAGTATAGATATATTGGCCTGTATGGAGTTATCTGATATTACAATAAATATTGGTGAATGTCTTCAAAAGGTAGTCATTTTTATTTTGTCATTATTAAAATTGAGTCCCTCTTCCTTGTACTTGAAAAGCACTAGAACCATTTGTCTCTTGAGACCATTCCCAGTTTGTTTATTTTAAGCATGTAAAGTGATGTCCTTATCTTCTATTTGCTATGGCAGAAAGGCATGTGTCTAATTCATTTAAAAGTATTATTATGCCATT